GCAAATGCCAGGGGGGATTTAAATACCCCCCGCGGCATTTGCATGAACATGGCTGCCGCTTTTTTCCGGCTCGGGATTTTGCCGGAGAAAAGCGCCAGACTAGACGGGATCTTGCGGAAAATAAGCCCTTTTCCGTAAGATCCCTTATTCCTACTTGAATACTTCCCAAGCTGAAGTCCCTCCTTTGAAAGTAGGAATAAGGGATCTTCCGGAAAAGGGCTTATTTTCCACAAGATCCCGTCTAGACTGGCGCTTTTCTCCGGCAAAACCCCGAGCCGGAAAAAAGCGGCAGCCATGTTCATGCAAATGCCGCGGGGGATATTTAAATCCCCCGCGGAATTTGCAATTCCGAAATGTCTCATTAGCATCCCTTTTACGGAAAAGGGTGCCAGTGTAGACACAGCCTTGGAGTATTGTGTCCAGTTCTGGGCCCGCATTTCAAGAATGATGTGCAGAAATTGGAGAGGGTCCAGAAAAGAGCAACAAGAATGATTAAAGGTCTAGAGAACGTGACCTATGAAGGAAGGCTGAAAGAATTGGGTTTTAGTTTGGAAAAGAGAAGATTGAGGAGGGACATGATAGCAGTTTTCAGATATCTAAAAGGGTTTCATAAGGAGAAGGGAGAAAACTTGTTCATCTTGGCCTCTGAGGATAGAACAAGAAGCAATGGGCTTAAACTGCAGCAAGGGAGGTTTAGGTTGGACATTAGGAAAAAGTTCCTAACTGTCAGGGTAGTCAAACACTGGAGTACATTGCCCAGGGAGGTTGTGGAATCTCCGTCTCTGGAGATATTTAAGAGCAGGTTAGATAAATGTCTTTCAGGGATGGTCTAGACAGTATTTGGTCCTGCCATGAGGGCAGGGGACTGGACTCGATGACCTCTCGAGGTCCCTTCCTGTCCTAGTATTCTATGATTCTATGAATGGGAGCTGTTGGAAGCCGTGCTCTGGGCCCACACCACTTATTACCCAACCCCACATTTCGGTGATGTCAGTCATCGAGTACATGTTAATGTTTGAACATGTGCCCAGAGACTTAGTAGTGGGCATAGCTTTATAATTGTAGAGTAAAAAACAGCCCTACATTTGTAGCTATCTTCATGCTAAAATTTCTGGGCAAGAAGCTGGTTTCTTCGTGCCATTCACTTTAGTGACATGCATCAGGAAGGATGTCCCTTCCCTTCAGCTCTGATGTACCATATACAGTTTCCTCTTTAGCAGCAAGAGAGCAGAACTTTTTAGTAGAAAGTGCATTGTTAGCCATTTAATTTTGCTAGAGAACTATTTTTTGGGTTTTTTTGTTTGAACAGATAAAGAAAAACATCCTTCCAAGGAGAAAAAGAAGAAAAAAAAGAAGAGCAAAGAGGTACAGCTTCATTCCGTGATATAACTCCATGAGCATCTTTTCTGCCAGTCACACAGAGGAGGGCAATTGCAGCTGGCTTTCATAGTGACTCATTTCTCTTCCATATTCCATCACCAGTGAGGCAAGGGGATCTATAGTCCCTCAGCCTCCAAGCTAGTAGCATTGGTTAAATCACTGATATTATATAGCATAAGGTTAGATTGTACAGAGCCTGCATAAAGAAAAAATAGCTTTTGTGCTATCTATCAGTTCAGCAGTGCCCAAGAAAGAATAAATCTTAAGAGCTAACCATAGATCATCAGCTGATTTGTTCTTCAGTGAGTGCATCAGACCTAAACTTTCCCAGCTCTGGGTTGCTCGAAAGCTTGTCACTCATACCAACAGAAGTTGGTTCTTATAAAAAAAAAAAAAAATTACCATGCCCACCTTGTTTTTTTTAACTTTTGGTTTTCTGACTAGCATCCTTATGTGACAGGACTCCTATTGCAACCCAAATTTTGCTTCACATGCTCTCAATCTATGACAGCAGCTGGGTCTGTCATTGGTAACCGCACCTCTTCTAGATATTGGATTTAATTCCTTCCATACAATTCCCATAATAGGTAGGCTTCCTTCCCTGGGTCACACTTTCAGAATGATACATGATGGGTTACTGATACCAGTGGAAAGAAGCTTTTTTTGATTGCCTTCTCATTTTGCAGGAAGAAGAGAAATCTGTGAAGAAGAAAAGCAAACACAAGAAGTGCAAGGAGAAGGAAGAGAGCAAAGATGAGAAGAAAAAAAAGAAAAGAAACAAAGAGAAAAACAATGAGATAGATGAACTGGAGGCTTTTCTGGGAGGAGGAGCCAGCACCAGCAAGCAGCAAGGGGGCGGGGACTATGAGGAGCTGTAGACTTTCAATGTGTACAATCAGCGGACTCCACTGGTGGCTGCCACCAGCTTTCTGTATGAGCCATGCCAGGATGGGTATACATGTGTAAAGCTTTGGCTGTCTGCTGTAGGTACTGTTGAAACAGAGATGGTGGAACAAACAAGCTTTACATCTGTGTGTGCTATTGTGGAGCAGTCATTGTGTGGCAAGAAAGCACAGCCATGGTATACTTGAGGAAGAGTAAGGTCATGGTACGGGATTGTGGCAATCTGTTCTCATTCCCCCTACCACTGTCTAGCCCTCTTTATGTTCTCCAGAGCATTCCAATCTGGTATTGGCAGGGTGTGGGGAAGGAGAGGTGGTGGACCTGCTACCACCCCCACCCCAGCATGTTCCACTGCTGCACCCCTGAAATTCCTATTTTAAGAAATACATGAAAGCAGCAATACAGGCCATTTGAATGCTTCGTGCTGTCACCTTGTCGATAATCAAGTCTTTAACTTTTTATCCTTCCTATTTTTTTAATGAGAAAGATGTTATTGACCTTTGCCCCATAAAGCAATCAACACACTTTAAATTAGCAAAATATCTTCTTGTACAGGTTGTAATGAAGCAGCTTCAGGGCCAGAAATAAGAGTGAGTATAACTTGGGAATCTTTCTGCACAGCAGCATATTTTAATCACTGGTGCTCCTTTTGGAATCCATGAAGCCCCTTTGATTCCCATACAGGTGAGTCACTGTGCAGTTGGGAAGACAATGCTAAGTTACCTTTTACAAAAGAGAAAAATTGATACTTATTTCCTAGTGTGGCTAGCAGCCCCCTCCTACAGCACCTCTCAGGGATATGACTACTGAAGAGAAGTGGAGTTACCAGTATTTCAGGAGTGTTTACAGAAATTTGTTAATATGGGAAGGCGTTTACTTCTCAGGGCATGCTGTAAAACAGTAGCTGCCTCTGCACCAAATGGGGAAACCACTTGAGCTGGGAAAAGCGTCCTTCAGGTTATGCAGATACTGAAAACCAGGTTTGCTAGATCACCTAGCAGCTAGTGCAAGGCTCTTCCTTGCCCAGAGTAGAGTGCAGAACCTCCTCTTGTCACTCCTCTTGTGAGTTTTGAATGCCTTTTAATTTTGGCTCTGATCTCAAAGAACCATGTATCAGTGCAGGCTCAGCAGTAAGGATTATGGATGGTTATTGATACTCTTTTTCTGCCATTCATGCCTTTCACTGTCTTGGTGAGTGTCCCCCTCCCACCCTGTCTTTAAAGATCCTGTTAATATTCTGAACCCTATTGTGTTGTATTCCCTCCAAGGCTCATCCCTGGGAAGCCCATTCACATTTTTGTGCATTTATTAAATAGTCCTTTTGCGTGTGTGTTGTTTTTATCCTTTAAGTTGTAAAAGGTAGCCTGTTTGAAGGAAACTACATTAAATCCAAGCTTGGATTTCCTTCCATTTCCCCTTTCAGAGGGAAACTGCTTTGGATCCATCCTCCACTTCAGGGTTGCCTTGTACTATAGATAATTGCTCCATTTCCCCCCTAAGAAATGCACTTGTAACTTTCTATATATAACAAACTGGGGTATTGCTGCGTGAGCAGTTTCATTCCAGGTACATTTTCCATTAGCGGTTGCCTGGTTTTGTTTTATGTGACACTTTGGAGAATTTGCATGGGACATTTCAAATTTCACATACCAGGGAGAAATATCAGAATGCAAATCAGTTTGCAGCCTCTGCTCCAAAAAGGAAACAAGACATTTGCACTACAGCTGACAAAGTGTTTCTGAAAGTGCTTCTGCTCTGTAAAGATTTTGGATCATGTTACATTTTTCATTGAAAAATCTCATGCACTCCATTCTGACTATAAAGCTCTCTTGTACACAACTGCCTCTGTACTTTTCCTTATGCACACAGCTTGATCACTGCAGCACCTGCTTGAACTCCAGAGACAGCCTGAACTTTCAGGACAGTTTCACAAAGGGGCCAAGGATTTCAACCCTTTCTGATTACTTTGTTTCCTTAAAGGGAACCTCTCAGTGACAAACCACAGCTTTAAAAAATTTGTTGTATCTAGTAAATATTACAAGAAGATAGTTAAAATTGAAAACTTAAATTCTGAATTCCTTACCCCTCCTATGGCTTGATCATATATTCCATTTGTTGCCTAGGCCAAGGACACTAGAGCCATTGGTTTTGTTCCTGTTTATAGTCACTTTCTAAATGGTTTCACTTCCTCAGCTAGCACAAGGCTACAGCATGTCTGTAAATCTCATCAACATATTCTTGCTGTACTATGTCATTTTGGGGGGAATGGCGGGGAAAATTCTAGTGATTTTTCCCAAACCCTCACATTGGCCAAAATTTGACTGCCATGGTCCCTTTAATATTCCTGATGGCCAGGATTTCTCAGCCCACAATACAGTCGGCACTAGAATGGCTGAAACAAAGAACAGTAATGGGAGTCATTGCTTTCCTAAACAGTCCTTGAAAGAAGAAGAGGGTTATAAGAGCTCCTTCCCCCTCCCCTAAGCCATATGCACATCCCCCTCTGACGCAGCTTTGAGGAAAGCTGGCCTTGTTAATGATTTGAGATCAGGGTTCATTTCTTGTCTCTGCTGCATTAATCTGAACCTCAGTTCTTGCTCTGTTGTGTGAGCATGCTTGTTCTTCATGGGGAAGATGAGGATCAATGCTGAGCCATATATTCATGAGACTATGATGAATGCAGCCTCAGGATAGCCTGAACACTAGTGTGCCATGCACTTGCATTGGGTGGCCAGACAGAGAAGCACCACTGTGAAACTATATTGCTGACAGGATTGTTCCACTCTAACAAGGTGCAGTGGCCCATATAAATCCCTTTCCCCCAGTTCTTTGAGTGTGTGTCCAGGAAATGCCCCAGCTAGCAGTGGCCAGAAGCAGTTAATCTGTGGATTTGGCTTCCTCTGAAAATTGGTTTCTGCAAATTCAGAGTATGCAGCCTTTGAGTAAACCAAGTATAGAGTAACCATGTGTGTTAGTATGGAAGTTTCTACAGGAGCTCATTGACTCCAGCTCTGTTTCTGTATTTATAGACTCATAGACTTCAAGGTCAGAAGGGACCATTATGATCATCTAGTCTGACCCCCTGCACAATGCAGGCCACAGAATCTCACCCACCCCTCCCAGAATAATCCTCTCACCTATATCTCAGATATTGAAGCCTTCAAATACTTTGAAGACCCAAGATGCAGAGAATCCTCCAGCTGTGATCTGTGCCCCATGCTACAGAGGAAGGCGAAAAACCTCCAGGGCCTCTGCCAATCTACCCTGGAGGAAAATTCCTTCCCGACCCCAAATATGGCGATCAGCTAAACCCTGAGCAGGTGGGCAAGACTCACCAGCCAGACACCCAGAAAGTTCTCTATAGTAACTCCTATCATCCCTCCATTGACCTATTCCCACTGATAATGAATGGTCAATTAGTTACCAAGATCATGTTATCTCATCAAACCATCCCCTTCATAAACCCATCTAGTTTAATCTTGAAACCAGATAGATCTTTTGCCCCCACTACTTCCCTTGGAAGGCTGTTTTTCAGGAGGTGCCAATCCATTTGATTTGGGGATGGCTGGTAAACACAATCAGCCAACTCATGGCTGATAGAGACAGCAATTTCTTAGATCCAAAGCTGCCCCAGGTTGCATGTGGATCATGTCTCATAAATTGCTGTAAGTTCATTTGTTGTTTAACTCTACAGTGTAGCACTATCTGTTTGTAGCATGTAAATTTAAATGGCAAATTTTCTAAGTGGCTCGTCAGGTGTTCTGTAAGTATTATCTACCTGTTACTTGCTGCAGATGGGCTCGCATAGCATAAAACCTCACTCTACAATTTCCCTGCCCTCCATGTCACCGCTTCATTTAGAAACAACAGGGGGTTTGACACACTACCTTAAAATCAGACGTTGGTCTCCACTGAAGAGCTTGTATTCCAGCATAGGCAGATGGTTAGATAGTACAGAATGAATGTTAGGGCAACTGGGCATAAAGTCCTACTGAAGCAAGAACTGAGGTGCTTTGTTTCCACCTACCATATCTTCCTAATAAAAAATGGGTCAAGAGCCACTGGACCTATTCGGCTTTTTGGCTACCTGAGCTGCTGCTGAGAAGATTGTTGCATTTCTGTAGACGAGGAAGTGCTCCCCATAGAACTTGTAAAGTCCTCTGCAAGTAATGGTAACAGAGAAAATAGGGGAGCAAGTGTCCACTCCAGGGATGTTAAATATCGATTAATTGACTAGTCAAGAAACCACATGAACTCTTATTGGTTAGTTGACTATTCTGTAGTCTCTGGGGGCGGGGCCAGCAGTCAGTGTGCTCGGGCCCCACTACCGAGGAGCTCCCTGCAACTCTGTGCTGCTGCCTCTGTATCAGAGGCAGCAGCATGGGTGCCAGGCAGGCAATGGTATATGAGGGGAGTTAGTTTAAAAAACAGCTCCCCTCGTGGACTGGCTGCCTGTTGCCCTGTGCTGCTGCCTCTGATAAAGAGGCAACCACACGGGGTGGCTATAGCCCCTGTTTGGGGGGGTGTGTGCAGTGTCTGAGCTCCTGGACCCCGGCACAAGCTGGAACTGAGCTGGCTGGCTCCTAATACTCTTTAAATGCATAGCCACAGCAGGGGGAGGTCCTGGAACTGTTGCAAGCCAGGACGGAGCTGGGCTGCTGGCCAGCCTGCTAAAAAAATTGCTGGTGGGAGAGGGGAGGGAAAGGAGTGTAGTCTATAGCATTAATCTATAAGCTTTACTTATTGGTTAATCGACGACACTATTACATCCCCAGTCTACTCCAAAAGCATGTTCCAATATGGAATCTTATTAGCAGCTGAAGGTTGGAGTATATTGGGATGCTAATTTTCCTAGACTTGCAATAAAGCCTTATTTTTTAATTATTTTCATGAGGTTTCCAAGTGCTATATGTTGTTAGTAGTACACTAGCCCCCAAAATCCTGAGTCAGGATTCAGGGATCTTTTTTTTTTCTTTCTGCCCTTAAACACACATGCCAACAGAGTTCCTGCACTAGAAAGGCACTAAGTTTGGATCCTGTTACTTGAAGTTGCTGGCAAGAACTCCAGTGTTGGTGTATCAGTGAGACAGGTCAAGCTGCAGGGACAGGAAGTCTGCTAAGCAATCAATGGGGCCACTGGATGGTCAAGATGCTAAAAGAGCAGTAAGGTCATAGCCGAGAAACTAAATGGATTCTTTGCATTGGTCTTCATGGCTGAGGATGGGCGCTTCCCAAACGTGAGGCATCTCTTCTTAATGTGACCAGAATAAGTATCGTGTAATTGACTAATCGAATAGTCGATAAGGTGCCAAGGCTGTTGCTACACTTCAAAGGCAAAAGCACTGAAGCCCAGGGTCAGCTGGGGATTCCCCAGCTGATCCCAGGCTCCATGCTGTGCTGCCCCTTTGAAATACCACTAGAAGCCTAACACTAGGCTCCCCACGACATTCAAAGTGGCAGTGCTGCATGGAGCAGCTTGATAGAGGCATTGGGGGAAGGGGGGGTGGGGGAAGAGACTAGTCAACTATCCTGTTGACTATCCGATAAGCATTTGCTTATCAGATAGTCAATTAGTCCTTATCATCCCTAGACCAGATCTGAGGAACTGTCCCAGATTGAAGTATCATTAGAGAAAGTTTTGGAACAAATTGATAAACTAAACAGTAACAAGTCACCAGGACCAGATAGCATTCACCCAAGAATTCTGAAAACTCAAATGTGAAATTACAAAACTACTTAACTGTGGTTTGTAATCTAGCCTTTAAAATCAGCCTTTTTACCAAATGACAGAGGATAGTTCATAAGACACCAATTTTTGAGCAATCCTGGCAATTACAGGCTGGTAACTCTAACTTCAGTTCTGGGTGAGTTGGTTGAAATTTGAGTAAAGAACACAATTGTCAGACATGTGGATGAACATAATTTGTTGGGTAAGAGGCAACAGGATTCTATAAAGAAAAATCATGCCTTGCCAATCTGCTAGAATTCTTTGAGGCAGTCAACAAGCATGTAGACAAAAGGATCCAGTGGATATAGTGTACAGGCAGTCCCCGGGTTACGTACAAGATAGGGACTGTAGGTTTGTTCTTAAGTTGAATTTGTATGTAAGTCAGAACTGGCTCCAGATTCAGCCGCTGCTGCTGAAACTGACCAGGGGCTGACTACAGGAAGCTGGAGGCAGAATTGCTCTGCCCCCAGCTTCCTGGAATCAGCCACTGATCAGTTTCAACAGCG